AACATTCTAGTCATTAGATATATCAACGGGCTTACCTCGAAGCGTAAGGGGGTTTTGACGATTTTCCGGCGAAACTTCCGGCAACGATTACTCCCATCTCCGGCGACCTTTCACAAAATTGACAGCATCTATGTACTCTCCATATTCATAGCTCTCATATGAAAGAAGAAGGAAGGATTTTGGTGTGGAAATGAGGAAGAGGAGAGTAGCATTTATAGCCAGAGAAGAAGGAAGAAGACAATTGGTGATCCTGGTGATGATGGGTCGATTAGTGTGCAGGGTTGCGATGCTGATGAATTTCTCACGATTCGTCTCTGATTGGGACTAATTTGGTCCCAGTCGGGGTACACTTTTTTGTCCAACTTTATCCGAATTGAATTCCGTTTGCACCGTTGCGATCAGACAGTTAAACTCTATCCAACGGTATAATTTTTTATATTTATTCGTTATACTTTTTCCGACATCATATTTTTGGGTGGTTGACTTTGACAAAGTCAAAATTGATTCAATTGACCTTTATTCAAAAAGGTTCTCATAATTAATTCATATAATTTATTTCCATGATTTATTTCAATAAATCATTTCAAAGTTCACATTATAAACAATTTCTTCATTTATTCTTAATTTGGATCTGTACTCAGGTTCTTAATCATATCACACAATAAATCAATATATTGTATTTATCTTTATTATGTTTATTGGATATCAATATATATTTTATTTTGGCCCAAAGCCCAAAAAATAATTTATTTTAATCAAAACAATATTTGTTTAATTGAATATTTAATTCAATAAATTTTAGGGTATATTTTGGGGCGTTACATCAGGCATCCTGATCTGGACGCTTGGACTTGGACGCCTTGGCTCCGTTCCTATAAATAGAGCCTGATCCCTTTCATTTTAATCATCCAACTTCATCCCAACTTCGAGATTTACTCTTCTAATCTCCATTATAGTTTGTAGTATAGTTGTAGTAGTTAGTTTTGAAGTATTTTCAGAGGTTTTGACTCCAGATCTGTTCTGTTCCGCTTTTACAGAAGTTGTATTTAAGTTTTCTTTATTTAATAAAATGTTGTTTTAATTTATGTTTGCGTAGTATGAGTTAGGGTTCGGACCCCTGGGTCCGGACTAGTTTGGTTGTATACTTTTAATGTTAAATTAATGTTGGAATGGTTAATCTATTATTCTTGCCTTATTTAGTTAACTAATCTCGAAAGATTTAATTAGCTATTTACTAAGAAAATATTATATGCCAAAGGGCTATGATATTCAAGTGCAACGGACTAAGTACGCAAATAGAAATGGATGAGTAATAATAGAAATATTATTATTCCAATTGTTAAGTAAATATGATAAAGTAAATCCAAATGATGTCCTGACCCTAGGTCCAGATTTTGCTTATACTATGTAAATAAATTTATTTTTGTTTTTACTCTCCTTCCCTTTTATTTGTTCCGAGAAGACATTCATAAACCAATCCTAATAATCTTCGCCTAGTTAGAGTAAATAGACTAATTCCCTTCGTCCACTCCTCGAGAGACACGACACTCGGAGAGAAAACTAACCCGAAGGTTTACTACCCGAAAAACTACGACTGTCATTCGTC